TTAATAAAAAAAAATTCTGATCATATTAATCAGAATGATTATCTTAATTAGAATAATAAATTCAACCAGAAAATTTTTATTTGTTTATGCGCGCAACTAGACTCTTTTTCTCGTGTGCGTACTATAAGTATTACTAATTCGATATTACTTATCAGTATTATTGATCGTGCAAGGTCCATATTACATTCAATATATCGCAATAAAAGGATTAACCTACGCTTAATAACCGACAAATGCTACCGCTTGCCGCAGTGATACGATCAATTTCGGATTTACGAAGAACGGAAGCGATTCGGCCGAAATGGAGCACTGAGTGGTGCATTCTCTTTCGCTATTCGTTGAAATAGTCAAATAACAGTCGAAATTGGATGATCAACGTATCGAGTAATTTATGGCTTCACGCACTTTGATAAAAATGTAGCAGTCGCTAACGGATGTATCCGATGTCGGGACGCAAGTTGTAACGTACAACTTGTTACGCTAAAGTTCATGAAATGTACGCGTTTCACGTACAAACCGCCGTACAATTAAAAACATTTTGTATTTATGTTGGAAACGATTTACTCCTATTATTGTTGAGCTCTTTGTTAAAATTTTATATTGAATTTTTAACATATTCAAGTGATAATTTAACACGATGTGATTACGTTATTTAAATAGTTTGTATTAAATTGATCAATATATTTGTAAGTATCAAAATAATACAATTTTTAACTATAAGTGGATAAATAGCATGAAAATAAGGTATGTATTTTAAAACGTAAAATTTAAAAAAAAACAATTAAATAAAAATATGTTAATTTAATATATTATATATTAATTTCACTGAAAAAATAATATGCTTCCACTTCCACAATTTACAAATTATATCAATATTACTTTCTTGTGTGTTAATTTTTTAATATAATATTTGTATTTTCTATAACGCATTTATTCTGTGTCAATTTAAAACACAAATTTGAGTAGATCGTGATGGTGTTAAATTTCACACAAATTTTCCAAAAGTTTTTACTAAAATGCTTCAGCATGCTGTGAATTCAAATTCTTTCATGAAATTGACAGTCTCACTACAAATGCTTTCAAGTATTTAATTGACCAATTAGAAAGAATTTTGCTAATTGACTGATTGAAGGATGCCGCGAAGCATTTGATATATTCACATTGACCGTACTCTGATTCTCGAGGCTGGTGCAAGTATAATTTACTCAAATTACAGGACATTCCAGATTTTCTTTCTATCGCGGGCTGCCGCGAAATTCAATCTTCGTGGTTCGGTGGTCTAGATAATTTACAGCGCGGCGCGTTAGAAGGATGCATGGTGCAAAATATCGTGGAATCAGGGTCATACGGTTAATCGTGGATACGCTATAATCTCCGTTGCGGCTACACGCGCACATCATGAGCATTATACCGCCGAGAGTACATAATGTGTGGCAGGAAACGCGAATAGATAATCCAATCCGAGTACTGCTTTGTGCGAATAATACGATAGATGGGCTCCTGATTGAGTTTCGTTCTCGTTTGACGAACATTTCGGGCAGCTTCCGAATTAGAATTATCGCTGGCGGGTTGGTATCTGTATCGGATCAGAAAAGTTCTGAATAGCTTCTACAAATGACATTCGTATTCGGACGGAACTATCGTATGAGTTCACATCAACTGGGATGACACAGTTCTAGATATAAAATGTATAATTCGCGAATCCGACAAAAAAAATTGCGTAACATATGAGAAAATTAATGGATATTTTCATTTGGAAAGAAAAATTGAAGCTATTTCTCGAATTAATATTTCTGTAAAAAAAAAACAAAAACAGCTCTTTGAAGCAAAAGAAATTACACATTTTTCTTTTTAATGAAATCTTTAAAATATTTTATACAATATTAAAACACATAAATATCCTCATTTTTTTAATTAAGAGGTATAAATTAAAAAATGAATTTTAGCTTCTATATTATCTTGTTCTATAATGTTCGTGAGATGCATATATTTTTTATTTCTATAAATAATCTAATTTTTCTTGTACCTTTTAATACACATGATTAGATCATTCGCGTTCTGCACGTTTCCTTTCTTTGAAATACTACAAGCATCCGGCTAAATATTAAATAATCATTTCTATTCTCTTTCCCGTTTTTAATACATAACTTTATATAAATATGTTTTATTCTAAAGACGTTAAAATAAATGTATAAAAAAATCACTTATTTTTGTATTCTTGTAAAAATGATAAAAATTAATCCGAGCTGTAAACAACCCATTGTGTGTAATAAATAATTAATCAAAAAATCATTGCGTGTGTTAAGGTTAATTCATATATTGCTCCAATTTTCTCTATAAATGTTTATTTATTACCCTACAGCTGACAAATATTTTGCTCGGATTCGCTAAAAGCCCAAACGGATCAGTCATCTCTGCGGGAAAACACTAGATTTTTATTATAAAAAATTTAAAAATATCTACTTTTTCCTGAAAATAATAAGTCAATTCGCGTTATTTGTACTCAGTTTGCTTTCTCTCTTTTCAATGCCTAAATATGTATTAATTTTATTGTAAGTGTAAATATCTATGAGGATTCAAGCAACGCGAACGAATCTAATATTGTCACTGTACAATTATATGGTACATACCTATTAGATCCGATTGTTCACAGTCGAGTTTTAATGAATTGGATGATCCACTTGTTACTCTAACAATAAGGTTATTTTAACAAAAGACGTTCACTTGTTAATATAACGATATAAAGCCCATGGCACATACAAAAACGTAAGGCCGTAAAACATAATCAGTAAGCGAATTGGCCAATCACAGTAGAGACCGTGAAAACGAAATCAACAAAATTTAAATTTTTAAATTAACATAATGGCGCCCTCTAACGCTTTCTAACGAATTTAGTCAAAAGGCTCATTTTTTCTTATGATAAAGAAAATGATGTCTATCGATAACTTCTCTCTATAGAATAACTTATTTTTATAACAGCGATGAGATACAAAAAATAAAAAATTGCAATTATTAAAACATAAATATTTCGATAATATATTATTAAATTGATAATTTATTTATTATATATTATAAATAATAATATAAATGCTGTATAAAAAAGTACGCATTACTTTTAATGCTATAATATCTTATATATTGCTAAGAACTTATAATTTTGTTCTTAGTTATCATCTCTATTGATAATCAAACTCGGATGATAACATTAAAGTCGCAATTTTTAATAAAAATTGAATATTATTATGTTTTAAACGTTCATGTTTAAGAAACTATAATGAATTATGAAATTTGAATACCGTACATAGATATTAATTATTATCAATTTAGTATTCCTTTCGCTTATTTTTATATAAGCGTCAAGCGTCTTTAGTATCTCGTCGGTGATTATAATAATTATTGTCAAAACAATAAATTTAATTTTTTTTAAATAAAAATTATAACTATATAATTATAACTATAAACCTTATTTTTTGATTCAATATCGGTTATGGATAAATATCAAAGTACGAATTTTATGCCGTAATAATCTTTAGTGACAACTAGAGATCCTAGTGACAACCAATTCCGTTCTGTTGGCAACACTAATTTAACGGACTGCTGGCAGTGCTGGCGGATTTGAAAAAGTTGATCCCGTCTGTTTGAAGACGTATACACGTGCACGAACGTGATTATAGTCTGTTGTGATCTCTGTGTAACAATATCGCTTTTATGACAGAAATCGACAAAGAATTTTATTGGAACGTTGTACAACGTGCACGAACGATGTAATAATAACGTAAATAAACTACGTTGACCTTTCCTTTTAATTTTTAAATCGAAATTTTTAAATCTCTTACGTGTTGGATAACTGTTGATTGGTGTTGGCATCGCTCCTTCTTTCTTTGCGTCCCTTTTAATTTTTTTTTTGACTGAAGACCGTAATCGTGGCTTTCATAAAAAAAATTACAAAAGTGACATTAATTCACAGTGAAATAAAAAAATAACAGAGATTAAAAATTATGTCTAATTCGGAGAGCTCCGTGTGCGATTCACAAAATTTTAAGTTACGACTTTCTCAAGATTCTATTGAAAATACTGAAGACTCTTCTCTGCAACGTTTTGCTGCAAACAAGAAGACGAAAGATGATGACGATGTTATGGTGATCAGCGACTGCAGTGGGAGCTTGACCCCTGAACGTCCTTATAAATCAAAATGGGAATCTAATTCTAATGTTAAAAGTAAGGAGCATCAAAAATTATATTTCTTGGAAATTTCTTCCGAAAGCGAACAAGAAAAGGAACCTGATTTATCATGGAATCATGTCAGGAAAAATGTATCTGATGGTAAATTTTTAAAGGAAAAGTCTAAAAATAAAATTATTACACAAGTCAATAAAGTGCCTATTGAGTTATCATTAATTTCCAATGATACCTCAACTGGTGATAAATTATTTAATGCTTTATTAAGTTTTGACAACAAAACCACTGCCAGTAGTGATGTGAGCTATGATAGAGATCAAGTAAATAAATATAAATTTTTTAAATCTAAGGGATACAATGATTATAGAAGTCCTATATTAAATGCACAGCAAAAAATAAATTTGAAATTAAGAGAAAAATACAACACTGAAGAAACAAATAAAATTAAATCGAACTGTAATAATGTATACAATGACAATCTCAATGTTTGTAGTAAACATCTAATTTATAGTAATCTAAAGCAAAATAGTACAGGAAAAGTTAGACTTACAAAGAAAGACACGTACAAAATTTTGAAGAATATAAAGTCTACCCAAATCATGTATGATTCTCCCAGGGAGAGAAAAGAAAATAATGTAATAATTGATGAGAGTACAGATATAGATGAAGATGCAGTGCATCCAGCTATATCACCTAGTTATAATAAAAAAGTACAGTATCTCAGTGATGATTCTGATATTATTGATAGCAGTCTAAAAAATGATATTTTACAAACAGATTTATCTGAACCGCCCAAATCAAATATTGATATATCGAGAGTAATGGATTCTTTTAGACCTCTGTCTGAAAGAAGACAGAAACAAATCAGAGAATGGCTTTTAACAAATTTTTCTGATTCTCACAATCAGAGCGATTGCTCTTTTAATACCATACCTCCAAGTACTAGAAATAGTAACTCTGGAAACAGCAGTCTGGAAAGATTGGAGCAGAACTATGAAACTCCAAATAACAGAGGGAAAATTAACAAAACGCAAACCGACAAGAAGCAAAAAATAATTGTAAATTCTGACAAAGTAATTCATTCATTGTTGAAAGGTCAAACTACACTGGATCAATATTTTAAAAAATCTAAGAATAATTCTACAGTTTGCACACCAGATAATAAACTGAGGTTTTTACCAAAAGCACAAACTGAGAAGAAAGCTTCCTTAGTAAATACATATGAAAGTAAGACTGTAATGGATTGTGCTAATATTTTAGATAAACTGTATGGTACATCATGGAGAGATAAAACTAATGTATTACTTTCAACAACTAAGTTACAAAAGCCATCTAATCAACCAATAAATAGGATTGTCCAAACAGAAAGGTAAATATACATATTATATAAATATGTAAATATATACTATTGTATATTAGTTTTTGTTTTAATACGGATATATGATCTGATAAGAGTTAATGACTTTTTAAAAGAAGACTATGTTGAAAAATAAATCAAATTTTAATTTAAAAAAAACGAAGTTAAAAACTAACTTTGTATACTCAAGTTACCTTTGTATATCTAATAAATTATAATTATATTTATATATTTTTTATTATAGGAAACCTGTATCAAGGAATCAGCATCATATAATAATTTCAGATTCGGATGAGTCTGACTTCGGTAATTATATTTTATTTTATTTTATTTTGAGAAATCTGTTTTAATAATTTTCTTCAAAATAAATTTTATGTTTCAGTTGAAAATAATATTAAACCAAATCAAAGAAGAAATATTCAACGAAAAAAAAAAGAAACGGATGATTTTATCAATGATGAATCATTATCAAGTAATGATAGTGAAAGTATATATCACAGTGCAGTAACAAATCCTATTACTTTTACAAATAGTACAACTAAATCCATATCAGCATCAATTAAACGGTACTATGCTTGTTAATTATTGTAATAGAGATATTGAACATAATTAAATATTATCTTGTTGGATATAGGCTTCAGGCTATATGTGATACAGATACTGAAGATGAAGATGACAAATCCAGAAGTCCCAAAAATTTGCAGAGACGAAAATTGTCATTTAGTGATGATGAAAGTTCTAACACGAGCGAATTTGATCCTGGAGATTATGTACCACCAAAACACGTACGTGATAAAGGTAAGGAATGCATACGATAAAATTTGTTTAAATTGGGAATGAAAATTTATCTTAAGATTTCTGAGTAGTCATATTAAATCACACAGCCATATTAAATCGTGAAGTCAGAGGCGAGAAATAACACATTAATTTTTATTGCGTGCTATTTTTGTAAATAAAATTTAAAGATAACTTAAATAAAATGAAATTATGAGATCGCTATAAAACAATTGTAAAAATAGACGAAAACTATCCTTATCTTCTTCTCCCCCGACAGTCAGTAAATAAATAATCATAAAAACTGATAAAATGCACGTCATCATTTTATTTTATCCAAATTGTCTTTATTTACAAATATAATAAAAATTAACGTATTATTTCTTACTTTTGACGTTACGATTTATTGTGGCTGTGGTGACTACTTAAGTGTTTTAAAATAAAATATTATTAATACAAAGTTTGCATACAATAATTTTATAATATTTAATTTTTAGAAATTGCCAAAAGACCAATACCATCCAAAGTAGCACCTAAATTTCAATCGACTGTGACTAAGTCTGTATTAGGATATAAAACCTTTCTAGCATCTTTGTCAAATACGATTCCAATGTATGAAGTTCATCCGAATGCAAAGAAATATAGGTTGGATTATAAAAATAATAAAGATGAGCTATCTAAAAAATTGTATCAATTATATAACGAGAAAGTGTTTGACAATAAGTTACCTCAAGATATGCCGATTGAATGGAACGTTCGTATGAGAGGAACTGCCGGGTATTGTTACAACAAGAAGTCTATAAAAGGTATTAGTGGTACTATTAGTAAATCTTCAAGGATTGTATTAGCAACAAAGGTACGATCTTTTTCGTTTTTTTTTTCATTTTCATATGTATATGAATAAAATCAGTTATAATAAAAAAAATTATTATTCTAGATTTTAGACACGCCAGATAGACTAAGAGATACTTTGATTCATGAAATGTGTCATGCTGCATCGTGGATAATAGATAATGTCTCAGATGGTCATGGAGCTTTTTGGACGAGATGGTAAGTGATGTAATATTTTATAGTTATCAGATAGTTTAATTTTATTATTAATGAAATATACCATTAAACAATATAGGACGTCTTGATAGTTAAAGAAGTAGAAATCAATGCGGTAATTAGTACTCAAGTATAATAATGAAATGTTTAATATAGGGACATGATTGTTGTGTAACTTGTACAAGATATTGTAGTCAATTGTTCAATTTTATCGAGAATGACTTAAAGTAAGTTGAAACGCGTACAAAGATATGTATATTAAATATTTTTTATCATTTGTGGACTAAAACGTTTTATTATTATACTTGCACATTAATTATCGCGTTGACTCCTACTTCTCTATATATTTTTTGTCTTTAATTTTATTATTAAGTAATAGTATATAATAGTATATATATTATAAAAAGTAATTTAAAGAATATATATACACATATATATTTTAATTTTTATTTTATTATACTATAAAATTTTATGTAGTGAATGCAATTATAGTAATTATTTTGCAAAATTTGATATGATTTATTTTATATTACAGGGCTAAGAAAGCAACAAATATATTTCCTGAATTGCCACCAATTAGCCGATGTCATAATTATGAAATTAAAACTAAGTACACGTATAAATGCACAAGTTGTGGATACAGGTATTAGATATTGGTTGTATGATGTATAAAAATTGATTTGATTTCATTCTGTTTTATATTTCTAAAAGTTATAAATTTTTACTTTGCAGTATTGGAAGGCATTCAAAGTCCTTGGATATCGAGAAAAAGCGATGTGGTTATTGTTATGGAAAATTTGAATTATTAATTAACAAAATGACGAAATCTGGTACCGTGCAAGTGCAGACACCGAAGAGAGAACCCACTGGGTTTGCGCTTTATGTAAAACAAAATTATAACTCCGTGAAAAAAGAGAAAAGCAATATGAAGCATGCTGACGTAATGAAGCTTTTAGGTCAGCAATTTTCGGCAATTAAAATAGCAAAGAAAACTGACGAAGCTAGCAGTTAAAAATGACGCCTAGCTAAATATTAAATTTGTATATATAATAATTCAAATATTTTATAAGCGATTTTTAAAATTCTATAATAATTTCTAGTTTTAATCAGTATTTAATAATTTTAGAGCAGGTTTTGAAGCTGATAACTGTATGTATTTAGATTTCAGACTTCTGCATGTTTTATTATTGAAATCATAAATACATGCAGTCACAGTGTGTAAATATTATAATATTTTAGAAGATTGATTTTTACTTACAGGCACTGGAATGTGAGATATCTTATATATTTTACATGTTACACCTATATATGATATAGAATATTTTATAATTTTTGTGAAATATTTATACATATATATTTGTTATAAAAGTTAACATACCTAATATGTGAGATATTTTATAACGTAGAATACATATATAAAGACTGCTATTTAGGGATGTATACAAGTTACTTTTCAAGTAACAATTAAGACTTAATAGCATTTGAATAACGACAATGCATTACATGAAATATATTCATGAATGCTGCTTAAGCAAGAACTGTATTAATCATCGTAATAAAAATTTGATACAAAATCCTTATAATTTTTATATCATTTATTTTCAAAAATTCATTTATGAGTGATACAGCGAACTTCTTTCATTTAAAGTTGGTTTCTTCTTTGCTTGAGATTATATAATTATAACAATTTATTTATAAAAAATGTAGCATTGTCTAAATGTAACATAAAAAATAATAAAATAAATGTAATATGTGACCGATTATCAATTACTACGGAATAAATAATTTAAAATTTGACTAAAATCATAAATTATTAAAATACAACAAATACTTTTTCTTAATATATAAATTACATATAACTTTTTTAAAATATTATTTAATATTCATAAACTATTTTATAAAAATATATAAATATCTTCAATACCTCTAGACTATCGCTTCCTTAATTTGAGCATCATCAATTTAAATCCAAGTAGTAAACTTTCCTTCTCTCTAACATACGTATATTTCTTTATTACGAATTGCTCATTGTTTAATTGTAGTTAAAACAATTTCACCAGAAATGAAGCGGTGCCAATATACTTTTGGTGATCGATATTGGTTACAATTACGAATAATTATTCAAAATTCTCGATGTTTTTTTTTTCAATATTTTAGAGCAAAGTCTTTTAAAGCGAAATATTTGTAGAGTGGATGGAATTAAGGATTCGGATGATAAAGGTGTACGTTAATTACTACAACTTTGATTGGAGGAATAAATGTGTTTGAATGAATTGTGTTTAAATTAATTATTGTGATATAATTTTTTTAAAAAAGAATTAAACAACGTGGATTTTGGAATAGGAAGATCTTTCAATAAGAGTACAAAGACATATACTTAGGTTTTTCATTGTATATGAAGATAAAGATAGTATCACATATGAGGTTTTACTTTTTAATTTAGTAGAATTTAAATAATATATTATATATATATATATATACTTATTTCTTATTTGTTGGGTTTTCAAATGTACGATCCAATAAGATTCTTATTGTTGATAATAAACTTAATTGAGAATCGAGATCTGCATTATCCTTTGGAGGTAAAAAAAGCTTCTAATATTTTAACAATAAATAATTCTTCAAAGCAAAGCATGAGTCTCCAAAGTGAAGATTGGATTATTAAGTTCCAATCTTTTCCAAATAAAAATTACAATTGTGTAGAAACATAAAAGGGTAGTTATATATAGTCGTAATCACTATGTGTGCCTTCCAATAAGCGACAGTACAACACAGAGATCATTTCTTGTTTAACATGTGTGAATAACAAGGATGTACTGATTTGAAAATTGAAATTAAAGATTGAAGGATTGAAATTTGTCCAATCAAAATAATAGGAGTTAAAGTTTCTTCATCCTCATTGATGAAATTTCAATCTTCAATCTCAATCTTCAATTGTCTTCAATGCGTCGTCTGATTTCGGCCATACACAGTTATCATCTCATCCTTGTTTAACATTAATTGTTTATCATCTGTGTTGGAAGGCACCTTTATTTCTGTTCGCCGTTTGATAAAGGCACCCTCGTGCCGTTGAAAACGCGGCGGAATCGCGAGGCACTCGGGCGCAGGCGCGGCGGCGGTGCGGCGGTGCGTCTGTGGCGCACTCTAAAAACAGTCGAGCCGAAGATGGCGACGTGTGAGTGAGCGGCGGCGGCGTCCGCGCGGTGTTTAATCGAGAAGCGAGAGAGAGTAAGACGAAGGTGTATCATGTTGCCGTGGTCGCAGAGTCCGCAGTGTTTCCGTGATCCGCGTTAGGTTCGGTGCAAATGTAAAAGGAATGTCAGAGGCGAAACGGGTGCCCCTGCAAACCCTGGAGTTCCCGGAGCCCCTGGGCCACGCGACGAAGAAGGAGAAAAAGGGGAACATGGGCAAGCAGCTCGCGCCCTCCTTCCGCTTTACGCTCACCCTGCCCGAGTCCAACGAGAAGACATGCCCGGAATTCAACTATGCCGATCTCCTCAAGTCGGCGGAGGTAAGCTATCAAGCGCATTTATCTGCACTTCAGCCGGGAGGGGAAAACAAAAGACCGTATGTCAAGCTTGTGACATACACGCGACATACGGAGAAATGAGAGAGTGAGAGAGAAAGAGAGTATATGAGCGTGTGAGTGCAAGATGGGGAAGGGGGAATAAAAAAAGAGAGAGAGAGACACACACACACACGATGGAACGCGTGTGTCTATCTATCGACGGGACGTGGAGGACGCCGTCGACGTTGGTCGACGCCGAAAAGGCGCGAGGGATCCTCGTCTAGGTGGCTGCCGCGCGATTGTCACGCGGTTCGCGTCGCCGCTGTGCACGCCGGAATTTAATCTGGCCGCATGCATATACGCGAAAAGGAATGACAGACGGCGGTGGCGGAAACGAGACAGGACGAGAACAGTTTCTTGATCGATTCGTTGTCCTCCGCCGTGGCGGATCCGCGCGCATTGTCAACGTCACCGGCCGTCCAACATTCAACTTGCACGCTGTCAAATCGGGTTTGCGGTTCTCAAGGTGCGCGAGCGCAGTCTCCTATCTTTCTCTCCGAAGAAACGCGGCGTCCTTCGTGCGCGTCCCTTCTGCTCGTAAAACGTCTATGCACGTACGAGAGAGAGAGAGAGAGAGAGTGAGTTGCCATTGCGCGACCGTCCGGCATTTCGTCTGTCCCCCGTCTTGCCTTCTCCGTTCTCCTTCGTGAAGAAGGGAAAAGAGACCCACACATATGCGACGGCGGCGGCGATGCCTTATTCGATGTGTGCAACGTCTACGCCGGTCTATTTCGCAAGCCGTGTACACTCGGTTCGGCGACTCTTGGCTCTATGGGGGAGAAGGATACGCGGAAAACGCGAACGGGAAGAGGAAGCGGGAGAGAAAACGCGGGGCGGGGGGGGGGGGGGGGGATCCGCGGAGGTCTCTTATTTCACGCGCGCGCGAGAGAGCGTGCTGCGAGACTCTCCTTTCTGAATTGTAGATCGATGCACCGGAGGAGACTCGTGACCGCCGACACGTATATCGAATACGCCGCTCGAGACGCGTGTCACGCGCTTCGCGATTCCCTCCCTCATCGCTGCCGCGCGGTACAAGTAGATAAATAAATAACCACTCGATCTAATACGATGTGTATCTATTACTTCGGTAATTAGTGAACGGTCGGCTTCGAAGTCTTTTTCGGGGGGGGAAAAAAAAAAAACGCGTTGTAGATACAATCCTGATGGTAGAATAAAGGCGATTGGAAACCATCTTTAAGCAGAACGACAAATCTCGTCTAAATTACGTTAAAATTAATCGTGATTGAGTGAAATTTGTTTGAAGTCAAACGCTCAAATTTTACGATCAACAGAGCTTTCAATTGAGTAATTTAATTTTTAATAGTTTATTTTTTTTAACAACAAATTAATACTCAAATAACACGTAATTGAAAGTAACTGTGTGTAGTAATTAGCTATTTTTTAATAATTGTATTCCTTCGAATTTTAAAACAAAATTGCAGTTAATTTATTTAGCTGTTATTATATAATTAAAGGTGCGGCGATATATGATCTCTGCACAAAAAATGACTGGAATTTTATATAAAAAGTTTTTTGTATAAAAATGAATGCTGCATGTATACATTTGAAACAGTTCAATAAGGTCAATATTTATATTTAACGATACAGTTTTATAGTTTCAATGAAAATTTTCTCATTTTATTTTAATTGCTTTTCAATTTTTATCCAGATTGTAAATCATCGCCAAAAATGTTTTTTGTACTACTTTTAAAATAGAATACAGCTGAATAATTCCATTTTTCATATTTTTTGTTAATAAATACATTTTTAATAATTATTTTGAAGCCATTTTGATGTTATCATGATTTTTTGTTCTATTCTCCCTTTTTTCGTAAATAAATCGAGATTGGATGAATGTTATCGAATGGTCTTGAACATATCACGATATCCGTTATATAAAATATTTTATTTTCAAATGGATACATGAAATTCATACGTGAATTACGTTATCCATTGTTACGCTGCTTTCAATCGCGTTTGTGTCTTGCGAAGTAATGGGTTTGGTGAGACGGAAGGACTAGAAGCGATAAATCGTTTCTGAAACATTCGCACTCGTTCTCACTCTTTTCATTCAGAATGTCTGAATTGCTTTAGCTCTTTCGAGCAACGCCGCTTTATTTTCATCGACGGTCGCGCTGCTGCGTGCAATTTGCAGCTTTGTTTTGGTCGCGCACGTGTTTTCAAAAACATGGCACGAATTCGCCGGCGAATCGAATTTCGAAGTAGTGGCAGCGCGCATTTCGAAAATTTGCAATGTAAAATCGATCGACCGTAAGATATATTGAATTGTTGCAATTAAATGGGAATCGGCGTTCATGAAAATCGAATGTTATTCTCTCTCTTGTTTAACATACAGCTATATTCGTTAAGCTTGTTTTATTTTTAATGCTTGTATTCGCTCATCACTGTTACATATCTTAGGTTGTAACATCAGAAGCGAAAAT